GTGTGTATATAATTATTTTTTTTCTTCTTTTTGCTAATCATATGTCTATATCAATTAGTGGTTTCCAATTTCTCTTGGCTAGGAGTTTACATTTTGTCCTTTTCCCCCCTCTTTTATATGTTACATTTTGTCGTTGAGATAATGGACATCAAGTTACCAAAAAAAAAAAAAAAAAAAAAAAGAAACAAAGATGAGAATGTTGAAGAGGATCACTAGCTAAAGTATCTTTGAGCGTGTGTGAAGGAAGCCAAACGCTTTAAAAAAGAGATAGAATTCTATGATAGAGTATGAAAATATCTTATTAGTACAATCATACTTTAAACTGTTAAATTTATATTAAGTTTTATATTTTTGTACATCTCTATATTTTGATGTGATTTGAACGAGATTTAATCATCTAATATTAACAATATATATTATTTGGACTAAATCTAATATTAACAAATGTAGATGTTGAGTAGGTTTTCATAAAAAGCTCCAAAAAAAAAAGAGAGCTCTCTCTTCTTTCTGTTAAAGGATGGGAAAGAAAAATATTATGCTCAAATATGAAGGTATATTTTCCATAACTCATTCCATTTGTGTCAAACCTTCAAATCATTAAGAAATTATTATTTCACCTACAAGTTTTGGTAAACCACCCATAAGCTTTGACATAAAATAAGTATTTAGTTTAATGATCCTGACATTTTTATTATTCTAATTAAAAGATAAGCCTAAAGCCAGCTGTGAATGAGACATTCTAAAGTATACAAAACTCTTCATAGGTAGATTAGGTAACCATATATATCCATTTAAAAACAATTTCCATTAGCAACATTCTAAACAAACAAACAAAATCTATTGTCAAAATCAAAGAGAAAGATGTCTTGTTTTTTGTGTTCTATTTATATATTGCTGATCTGATATATCAAACTATCATCTGTGGAACTTCTCTGGACTTAAAATGAACAAAAAATTTCACTGCCCACTTTATGAAATTTGCCACCAAGAGGAGAGAATGGTGGACCCTTAAACATCATTTCCCATTGATATTGTCTTCCTTGTTTTTGGGAAAGTTTATTAACGCTAACTATGCTCTTTTTTGCGCTGGGCCAACTATTTCAAAAAAAAAAAAAAATCTCATTTTTTTAGGTATCGTTTATTTCACCGATTCGAGTTTTTAATTCTAGATTTATATAGTTAAAAACTCTCAAAAAATATAACATCTAACTTTTTCTTCTACAATTACAAACTCTAAAAAAATATTACATATTAAATCAAATTAAAAATTTAAATTCACAGAATGAACGAGACCTTAATTTTTCATTGTCTTTGAGTACATCTATCATATCAGCAACTTTTCAATCATTTCTATAATTGTTATGATTTATTTCAAGGCCAAGATAAAAAATAAAATAAAATAAAATAAAATAAAGATGGTAAAAGTGCTTAGGACAAGCTGAGAAGTTGTTTTCTCTAGTTAAACCTGAACGTGGCAAATATGACAAGCTAATAAGTTGTTTTCTCTAGTTAAATATAATGTGGAGAGAATGCAATATCATTTCACTTTATTTTATATATTCCATAATATTATGCACTTATACAGCAAGCTTCCTGCGCAGTCTACCTGGTCAAGCAGTATATCCTCTTCGATCATAACTCATAAGATAATACAATGCGCTTCTCTAATTATTGTAAGGAGAATTCTAAATTAAGACATGAAAAAAATACCCTATTAATATGATTATGTATTCTGTCTAATATGCATTATAATCTTGTATATTTATAATTTTGATGTGATTTTCATTAGATTTAACATATGAAATATGCGTTATATTGTCTTAAAAAAAACACCTCATTTTAATCTTAAATTTATGTGTTGTTTTTGTGACAAACCTCATTGGAAAATGTTAATTTATAAACAAAGATTTTAAACTTTATGGATTCAAATCTTCTGTCTAATTTTAGCATTTTAATTAGTGTATAACCAATTATATCATGCCGCGTTGTGTGTTATCACATTGTGTCTTTATCTTATGTCTAATTTTAGTATTTAAACCGCTTTTTGATTAATTTTTTTGTATTTATCATAAGATGATGTAACATGATATGATTGATTATACACTAATTAGGATACTAAAAATAAGACAAAAAATCTAGATCCGAACTATATGTATTTAAAACTGGAGAATAGCAACATTGTAAGATTAGTGAAAACAATGGGCCTGTTTGTTTGTGTTTTCATTTTCGTTTTTCACGGTTTTCAAAGCAAAAAAATAAAAACGGGTGTTAAAAACGTGTTTGGTGCAAATTTTTTAAAAAAACAAAACCAAAAACGTTTTTATCTTTTTATGGAAATCAGAAAACGAAAAAAATGTATTTTCATTTTCTCGTTTTTGTTTTCTGTTTTCTGAAAACGGATTTCACTTTTTTTTTTTTTTTTTTTCAATTTTCTTCCCTCTTTTCTGAAACCGTTTTTGTATTATATATGTTTATTTATGTTATTTATTTAATATATTATTATTTAATATATTTAATAATATTATTTATTTAATCTATTATTATTTAATCTATTATTACATGTTTTCAAAAATTAAACCACCAAACGCAGTTTCAGTTTTTTTTAAAACTGAAATCAATCTCTAAATAAAACTACTAAACGCATTTTCAGAAATAATTCAAAAATGAAACTAAAAACGTTTTCATTTTTATTTTCGTATAGAAAACAAAAACGTTTTGGAATCAATTCCAAACGCACCCAATAAACCACAAAATCCCTTTTCTAAGCACACTCATTGACTTGCATGAGTCTGACCCTATTGCTCTGGCACAACTAATTTCTAATAATACGATTATCTAGGGAAAAAATAATGAGAAGCTTGAACACATTTGGAAACTTTTCTTTATGTAATTAAAAAACGAATGGCTTGTTTATACAAGCCAGAGGAAAGATCTCCCGACAAAGTTCTTTTCTCTGGCATGTCTATGGTAGGGTGAAATCCAACGATTCACATTAGATCTCGGCGAAGGTCCATGTGTTTCATTTCACATTTGATTGTAACCCAAACATAATAAATATAATTACAAAAACAACACTTACTTTTTCAAAATATAATTTTTTACCCATATTTCATATAAATTTTCAACAAATACACATATCAAACTTCAAACTCAGAACTCTACTGGGAAAAAAAAAAAAAAAATTCAAACCCAGTACCATAGCCTTGCCGGAAAACAAAAAAAAATGCACAAAAACTCGAACAATTCATGAAACAAAAGTCACAAAAATCCTAACAACCAAAGATTTGATAAATCAAAAGATACAAAAACCAGAACAATCAAGGAAATAATATCAAGCTGAATCGACACTCGCGAAAATTTTTAACAAATACACAAATTGATTTGATAAATCAAAAATTAAAATAATGGACTCTGATTTAAATTTTAATTTAAAATTTTTACAAAAGATTTTAAAAAAATATCACATTTAATTTTTTTTATTATAATAAAAAATTTTAAAAAAATATCACATATTAATTTGAATCTACAAATGAACGAGGCTAAATCTCAAGCCCTCAAAGCCGATGCTAACCCACCAATTCTCAATGTTATTCAGAAACTTTACAACAATCCAAACAAATTTCACATATCGAATGAGACAAAATAAAAAAAAAAATGTAATCTCCATTGATTTACACGGTACACAGAACAAAGAAGTGCGAAACCCAGATTCCGGCGGACGTTCGCCGGAGAGACCCGCGGCGTTCGTAGGTGGGCAGCGAGACCCATCTCGTGGGTCACGACCCACTGTTCGTTAATGGCGAGGACCGAAGGTTCTACTGCGGTGAGACTGTGAACGGCGAACGGAGAGGGGCGAGAGGCCCGACAAGCGACCTGCCGGGGAGGGCCAACATTTTCTGACGACAGCGTGGAGGGTGGCGGTTTGCTGGGGCGCAAAGGCCGATGGCTGAGAGGGCGGGCGAGTGGGGCCAAGATGCAGACGAGTAGAGCGGGGGCGCGGATCGCCGGTAGAGGGCTGGACAAAGGAGCTTGGTGCTGGCGCGGTCGGAGGATATGGCTTCCGTTGAGGAGAAGCGAGATGGAGTATTACACTTGAAAGGTGAATTTGATCAGGTGCAGTTGTTATGATGTTTGTTTCTAGGAGAAGATGATCTTGGACCGTAGATTTTTTATCCAACGGTGTATAAGATTTTACCGTATCGGTAGAGGAAAAAAGCGCCCCCCTACCGTAGACATCCCCTCATCATTATGTTGTCCAACAATTCTCATCTGTCTCCTCATCACCATCCGCACTGTATTTTTTTCCCCTTTTTTCACAATTTCTTTTCCTAAAATAACAACAAATGTAGCTTGGGGACTTAAAAATGCAATCCCTGCAAGAAGTGAGAATATGATTTCAAACTTTTTCCTTAGCTGGGTCCATTTCATTCCATATGGTCTAATCATTTTTCCCAGAAAGAAAAGCAAAAAATATGTATATAATATAGCCAAAATATAGTTTAAAAAATACAAAAAGTAAATAATCTAGAATTTGAGGTCAGATTTCTCTCTCAGTCCAACCCACTGATTGCGATCTCAATTCATTAGCTTTTTTAGCATTCATTTCTTGATGGCCTCATAATTTTGAACCCGATGCCCTCTCTTAAAATTAAATTCCTATTTTTTTAATGCAAATAAAATTTAAATTAAAAATACGTCTAGTAAAGAGATTCATACCATAATTTAAATTATAGTGCATGAATCAAACGTTTTTTAAATTAAATCTCTTATTGGCCCAATCTTAACTGCGCCTGGTGCGTACTGCGCACTCCTTTAATGCACGCTGTTTAGGAAGCGCCACGTCAACATCACATGCGTTCTAACTTCTACGCACTCCGTGTACCTTATCGACATTCAAATTCTCTTCGAAAGTATTTTCAAATATTATTTTGAAGTGAAATGTATATATATAATTTTAAATATTAATATAATAACAATATAACACCTAATTTCCCCTCCAATTTCTCGTCCTCTTGTCTTGTCTCTTTCTCTCTCTTCGGTTCTCTCTCAAAGCGAGCTCCAGCTCGGAGGTGCATGGAGCTTCTGTTCCGTCCTGGTTTTATAGGGTTTCCTCTGGGCTGTTGAAGAGGCTGATTTCGCAAGAAATTCGCGTAAAATGAGGTGAATTTTGATTCGGTGTCGTGGATTGTTCGACGATTTCGGAGCATCTTTTTGGGTGATTTTTAGGGTTTTTCGCGTACGAATCGCCGACTGATTCGAGAATGCCGGCGAGTAGATCGAAATCGGAGAAGCATGACGCTGCGAAGCAGCTCCGGCGGGACCCGTACGAGGTACTCGGCGTCTCTAGGAACTCCACTGATCAGGAAATCAAAAGCGCTTACCGACGAATGGCTCTCAAGTATGTTATATCTTAATAATTGTTCAATTTTTCTTAGCCTATGAGTATTTTCTTTTTCTTTTCTTTTTTTTAATGAGTTTGAAATTCCCTTAGCCCTCTCCCGGGAGAAGAGATTTAACTACTTCTGAAGAGTTTTCTTTAGCTTAAGCTTTAATTGCATTCAAAATTCGAACTTTCTTGTTTTTCTTTTTCTTTTTCTTTTTTTTTTCTCCCGACAAGATGTAGCAGACAGAAGTGAAGGGAAATGAATGGTTTAGTAACTTTTCCTTTTTTAATTTGTTGAAGATTGAGAAAGATGGCAGTCTTTCCCTTTTTCCTTATCGATTCGGGGTTCTAGAGCGTTCTTGCGAGCAAATAGGACTAATCAGCTATTAAGGATGGGTGAACTTAGGGATAGGTAGCTGAAAGTTTTGGTCCTTAAATCTAGTTGTTTTGTTAAACTAGGAGCTGTTACTTTATTGATTAACTGTAAGGTGCTTTCAATTAGCTTATCAAGCGACTGATTCGTCAGTCGATAAAAGATAGCGCCAATTGGAACATTTGCTTGAGCATATGCACGTGAAGAAAGATTGAGTTTTTCGCTTGCATTTATATGATCGTTTTTTGAGCTCTTTAGCGCCATTAGTCCACGTGTGAAATTTCTTAGGGAAATTTTGGCCTGTTGTAGGAATGTTGAAAACATATTTGAGCTCTTTTGGTCTTTTCTATGACATGTCGGCTGGGCTTGACCTAAACTATAAGTAGAGGAAAAGTACTGTTTTGGATACACGTTGTTCTTTCAGGTCAACGAGCTTTTGGTTACAATGTTACCTATAGATGAATATTGATTGGAATAGGTTTATGCATCTGATATTTGTTTAGCTTTTGTATTTTCTGTATTATCAACCTGCTTGCTTTACATTTCACGTCCATTGCTAATGTGGTTAAAAGGCCTTTACCTAGTCTAGTTGGTAAGGAGATGGAGATCGAAGTCTCATTAAGTTATTAAAATGAAAAGTAGCAATATTTAAGTGGCTTAAAGCAAATCATTGCAGGTATCATCCTGACAAGAACGCAAATGACCCTGAAGCAGCTGATACGTTTAAGGAGGTCACATTCTCCTATAATATCTTGTCTGACCCAGATAAACGGCGTCAGTATGATACAGCTGGATTTGAGGTATGATATTATTGAATAAATATATAAAATCTGACCTGTGTTTCTAACCAGTCATATTTGTCACTCTGCTACTCAGGAAATCTATTGATTCCGGTTGTTTTATTTGTTTATAGCTAATTAGCTATCATGAGAATTTAATTATTTATTTTGATTAAATGAGAAAATCGGTGCCTGACATGGTTGCATTATCTGTTTACTAGGCTGTTGAAGCAGAGAGTCAAGAATTGGAACTAGATCTTTCAAGTCTGGGAGCAGTCAACACCATGTTTGCTGCCCTTTTCAGTAAACTTGGGGTTCCAATTAAGACCACTGTATCAGCAACGGTTTTAGAGGAGGCACTTAATGGCATGGTCACTATTCGTCCACTTCCATTGGGGCAGCCTATATCCAGAAAGGTTGGGTCTTTACCTTTTTTTCCCTGTTAATTTTTTACTGTTCTTTGCAACGTTATTTATATTTTTCTTTTTAATAGGTTGAAAAGCAATGTGCTCACTTCTACTCCGTTACAATTACTGAAGAGGAGGCACAAGCTGGATTCGTTTGCCGAGTGCAATCATCTGACAAAAGCAAGTTTAAGGTTGATTCATTGAATCTCTTGCAGAATTTTTGAACGGACTTTGCTTAATTTTTTATTTACTGTTCTTTGATTCCCCCCGCTCTCACTCTCTTCTTCCTTTTTTTTTTTTCCTTTCCCTCGAAAATCTGTCAAAACTTCTGTAAAAAAAAGTTGCTTTCTATAATGAAATCTATTTTCGTGTGGAAGTTTGTATGGATCATTTTCTATTTCTGGTTGAAGTGTAGATGAATCTGCTTTATAAGTACATACTGAATTACAACTTAACTGACTCAATGCTATGCTTCTCTTCTAGTTATTGTACTTTGACCAGGAAGGGAATAGTGGGCTGAGTCTTGCTCTACAGGTACACTAGACCCATCTCTCTCTCTCTCTCTCCTCCTTGTAGAGTCGACGGGGTGTATTTTGTTTGTTCAAGTCTCTCATGGACAACTTGTTTCTTATTAGGAGGACAGTGCAAAAACCGGAAAGCTTACATCTGCTGGGATGTATTTTCTTTGTTTTCCAGTATACCGATTGGATCAAACAGTCAACTCGGTAAGCTGTCATCATTTGTTTGTCTTGTAAAAGATTTAGTTCATAGCTTTTTAACCCGAATTTGGTTTTGAATTTTTGTTATAGATAACTGCTGCAAAGGATCCTGATGCCGCCTTCTTCAAAAAATTAGATGGATTTCAGCCATGTGAAATAAACGAACTGAAGGCTGGAACCCACGTGTTTTCTGTTTATGGTCTGTCAAAAGATTTTGTGTCCAGTTTAGATTATTATGCAGTTTGGTTTTGAACCATGGTTATAAGCCATTGTCTTTCATTTTTGAAAATTCTTCTAGGCGACAATTTTTTTAAAAGTGCAAGCTACACAATAGAAGCTGTTTGTGCTGAACCTTTTTTTGAGGAAAAGGAGAATCTAAGGGCTGTCGAAGGACAAATACTATCAAAAAGGGTGGAGTTGTCAAAATTTGAAGCTGAATACAGAGAGGTCTGGACTTGACATGACATGAGCAGTACTTATGCACGCATATAAATTTTATATTCGACTAGTTTTCATGTTCTGTTTTGATAGGTTCTGGCCCAGTTTACGGAGATGACCAGTAGGTATGCGCAAGAAATGCAAGAGGTGAGTTAAAGTACATTGGTCTTTTAACCATATCTAGTGTCTACGTATTTTTTTTTTAATAACTTTTTTAAAATGTTTGTTTTATACAGATTGACGACCTGCTCAAGCAAAGGAATGAGATACATGCCTCGTATACAACTCTTCCTCCAATGAAACGGAGTTCAAGTAGAAACAGGAACAAGGGTCCATCCAAGGAGGTTAGTGAGGATGGGCAAGGGAGGTATAAGAAACCAACAAGAGATAGGCCTAAGAAGAAGAAGTGGTACAACATTCATTTAAAGGTTGACAAGAGGAAGCCGTGCTGACAGGGTGAGAATCATGACTGTCTTTTGTGTTATCGAATTCGTCTATTCATGATAAGCTGATTTGTATATTCAGAGTTAGCTTTGTGTCGGACAGGGAAGCTCTTTTGTTGCGGTAGTTTCACTTTCGCATACGCGCAAGCCTAGTAAAGGACTAAAAAGGAGTCCCAAAGGCTTATTGGGGAAGTGGAGACTGGGACTCCGGTGAGATGGCTCCATTACTTGTATCGTGTCAACTCGGCAACTCGTTGTTGTAAAATTCTTTCTTGTATTCTTTCATGTCTACGTAGTTCTCTTGTTGCTTTTCTTCAGCATTTCATCTGTTACACATGTAAATTACGTAAGTTATTCATGGAGGTCCGTTCATCGCCTCATTGATTGCTTGTATTTTTGGATAAAGAAAATGGAGAAATGGCACGTTGCTGGGAGATATTTTTCTCTCGTAAAAGTAAGCAGTAAGTCTCTTCTCAGTTATCTTCCACGAACGTCTGTATTAATTTAAGACTCTTTCAGTTTGCGGATTTGAATTTTTAATTCGAGTTTAAATGTGATTATATGTGAGTTTTTTCACTTTAATACAAAAGTCAGATTTGACTTTTTATGAGAGCTTTTAACTGTAGTAAAATTAAAATTAAAAACTCAAATTTGTGCAATGAATAAGGCCTTAGACTATGTCTTTTTCCCAAGTCAATGCTGATTGGGTTCTTCTTTTTTGTTTTTTTGGGTCATCGTTGTCGTCGTTATGAAAGGGAAGAGAATCAGTGCATTGGTTGCTTCAATTTGCTTAGGCTTTGTTTGGTTCGCTGTTTAGATTATAAGATTTAGTTTGAATTGTGGTGATTTAAATTGTGATTTGAACTGATTTTTAAATACATAAATAAATTGTAATTTATATTGAGAATAAAATTTGAACTAAAGTGTCATTAGAATTATGTACCAAATCTTATAAAATCTTATTGTGAATGACATTAAAAAAATGTAATATGGATGGGTATTTGTAACTCTTTTTATTATAAACACAATAAAAAAAAATTACCTCAATTAAAATTAAAACGAAAAAGTTATAATATTTTTAAGCATAAAATTGAGGAAGAGAAAAAATAAAATTATTTAGGAGGTGGGATCAATTTTAAAGTCAAGAATTTGAATTATTTTAATTTAATTCTCTACTAAAGATTAATTTGAACATTCAATTACAATCTGAATTGAATTTTTTGATTCGGATTGTTGTTTCAACAACACGTTAGCCTTCTTGGTCATAACTTCCAATTAGTTGCTTTTAAAAAAAAGGAAAATGCTAGTCTTTGTGAAAAGTTTTAACTGGAATTTCACGAATAGGTGATGTGAAACATTTTGACAATTCCACACTGCAATATTTTATAGTTTTCATTCTCTTTTCTTTAATCTATTTCTTCATACAAACACTTCTTATTTCTTTTTTTTTTTTTCTTCACCAACCTCGTTTACTTTACGAGTTTGAGTTTTTAATTCGAGCTGAGATGTGACATTTTCTGAGAGCTTTTCATTATAGTAAAAAAAAGTTAGATGTGACATTTTTTAAGAGCTTTTTATTATAAAAATCTAAAACTAAAAACTCCAATCGGTAAAATAAACGAAACCAAATATCTGTTCAAAATTCAAAGTTCTTTACAATTTTTTTGCTCAACCTAGTCAATCTTGGTAGGACTTCGCATGGCCCGTTAATTTTCTCCCAACAATAGCACAACCAGCGATTATATTCTTTAGCAAATTAATGGAAATTAATAGAAGGAAATAAAAGGAATACAAAATCATGTCTTGGGTTTCTTGGATATCTCTACTTCTATTTTTTTCCCTTTAACTAAATTCAAAAATTTTGTCTCCCCGTTCTTCTTGACATAGTTTTTTTTCTTTTTTTTCTTCTATAGAGCAAAAGAGAGATTGGCTGAATTTGTTATTTTCCATTAAAAGTATTTCATGAATATAGGAAGCAGGTATACATGGCCGCATTACTATTCTTCTTCCCCTTTCACATAAATTATTCTTAGAACCATTTTCGTGAAATAGTAGATAGGAGGGGGAAAAAAATATCAAATCAGTACGGAAAATTTAATACTTCAAACTGGCAACAAGAAAAATTTCTCCAAAATCAAATAATCGTTTTGATTTTAAGAGTTTGATGGATGATGGATACGGAAGAGCTAAGAGGAAAAAGATAAATAGTTGTAGTTTGCTATACATACAAAGAAGAAAGAAGAAAACTGAAGAGAAAGTTTGGACTTTTTAGTAATTTTGCATCTGCAAGCATGAACTTCTTAGCCGCGTGCCTCACCTAATTGTTTCGAGATGTAAATAATAATTTTATTCGTGATGTGTAGAGGCTCTCTTTAAAAAAAAAAGGGTAAGAGAACGGTTGTCCACTTTTTTCAGCCAAATGAAGAAACGGGAGATTAGAAATTGCTAAATTCCTTCCTGGTATTGTTGCTGATGTAGAAGTCGAGGCCATAATTATGAAGGTGAAAGTTGGCATTTTCACCCGCAGGGACTTGCTCTTCATAGGGCAAATATGCAAGATACTCAACTAAACAATTCCAACTTTCTCTCTCAACCCCCCACTCGAACTAGAAAAAAAAAAAGAGTGAACGATGGCCGGAGTTGCGGGACTGCCTCTGGGTGCGTTACCGGGCTCCCGACCATGAAACTTGGTCCTTCGGCTCGCCTCGTTGGTGGTTGTAGTGTACGGTATGGTTGTTAGAAAATAATGACATCGAGTGCGCAGCGGAATTTTAAAAATTTAAATCAATGTCAAAGCCAATCAAGAACATATTCATGATGCTATATAACATAAATACTAAAGATCTAAATCATACCTTTTGAGATTTAGGAAACTGCACGTCTGACAGATCAAAGCATTCCAAACAGCAACCGGAAGAGCCTTAACCAACTGGTCTTCTTTGCTATTCTCATTTCCACAATCGGAGTGCGGGTGGGCACACGTCGTTCAATCTCCTCTTGGTATTCTTGATCTCCTTCCAATCACAAGAGAGCCAAAGAAAAAACTGTTCTTGAGAATTAAACAATTTTTTCTCTCAGGAATCTTTTGTCAATAGCCTCCAAAAAGTCTCTCAAGTGATCTAATGAATAATGTGACTTAATAGGCTATTTATAGTGTTTAGGAAGTCATATTTCCGTAACAATTAGATTTTCTAAAGTTTATCTCCCTTACAGAGTCGATTTTGCCATGTTAGCATGCATTTTACGTTACAACCGGTCGACCGGTGACAGAGACGTTATAACTCACCGGTCGACCTGTCTTCACTAATCGGTCAACCGGACCGGTCGACCTGTCTGCACTGACGAAACTTGTTTTTCTAGTTTTTCAACATGGGAAACTTGCATAGAGCCTCAATTTTGATTCAAGCAACCCAATAGAGAAGTTGCATGATCAAAATAGTTATATAATAGTCTTCTCATATTAAAAAACTCTTAAAATAATAATTCAACCAACTTATCTAGAATTAATTTATCAATTAATTCACCCGATAAATCACTCATGAATTAATCAATCTCATATTAACTTTGAACCTCTTTTACAGGAAAAAACACAAGTTACCAATATGTAGGAAATACACTGTATCGTTACAGAAAATTATGTGAGCTAGGAAAGGGACCCGATGGACATATATAAATCAAGCTCCTATAATCACAACGCTACTTGTAAACCAACAAGTCCGTCTCATGATTATAAAAGTCTAGCGCTACTCCACTAAAAGCCTAGAGCTGCATTCTCGATTTATATAGCGTATTTACAAAACTCTGATTAGCTCTCGTCCATGACTCAATAAATTAGTGTTCATCCCCATAGGATATCCATAATCAACTTGAGGTCAAGTTCCGTTTTACCTTCCCGATTACATTTATCTTATGTACCATTATCACACCATGAGAAAAAACACTATCCGTACCATTACAAATAGTAAACCATTAGATAGCACAGAGTAGTCTAATGGCCGAGCGCTCGTATTTTTCAATCCACAGATAATGCATAAGAGGATATCATTGACTCTTTGTAAGACCTATGGATTCCACTATCTATAAATAATGAATCTACGCATACACGAGTCATACCCCCAATGTACTGATAAGCGTACCTTTAAATAATGTAAGGATGTCTCCCTTTGGTACATCAAAGGATACAAGCCAAGCATACGGGTTTATTATCCATCTCAGGATTAATATGACAACATATAATTCGTCAAAAGTGAATTGTTTTATTCAAACAGAATTATTAATTAAAACAATTCAACTTTGGTCCAATCCAATATAGATTTCACCATTAGAAACTATATCAATGTCTCCACCCATGGAGTTCCACCTCCGACGACCAAGACAAGCCGTCTCCGTTAGGAAGTAGACAACATAACAATCTTAACATGAATAAAGCGCCCAACTTTATTCCCTCGATTGTGGATCATAAGATTTAGACTATTATCTTTAGATTCTTGTCTTCCGCATGTTCTTCACATTACATGCAGGACCTAAAGATTTAGAATGACAGTCTCAGACTTTCAGTTTGCTTATCATACATTCAACTAATATGAACATAAAAAGGACAATACTTAGATATATGAAATGTATAAATCTTTATTAATAGTCAAAATGTCTCAAAGAACATTGTTACATTTATTCCTAAGGGCATAAACGCTAACAATGGTGGCTCCATTTGGGTGGATCTAAACCGGTTTGTAGCTTAGAAGCCGAACAAATGAGCTTCATTTCGAAGCGATTTTGTTGTTTGGTGGGTTAGATCTCTTGACTGGCTATTTCCCTTGACAACCCATTGGCCGGTTGCCATTCATCGAAGGCTTCTAACGGCAATGATCAAAGGTTTTTTCTGTTTTTTTTTTAATGTAATTTTCGTGTTTGTAATAAGGGCGTTGGTCTCCCCACCCGACCCTCATTTGTTTTTCTATTTGTTGTTAGTTTTTGGTGATCGACTTAAGGCTATTTGTATTTCAACTGTTAGGGTTGTCTTGGTCCAGCTAGAATTTTATCTATGCCATGTAGATGTCCCTTCTTTGTAGGGTTTGACGATTTGTCCCTCTATCACTCGAAAGCATATTTCGATGGGAGGGGTTTCTTTAATTCGAGTCTTATGTGTGCTCATTATTTGTGTGTCAATGTGTTCTCGTTTTCGTGTCTCAAGCGTGCGGTCGTCTCTTTAATAGGTCATTAGTATTATACCTAAATGACTATTTATCAGTTTTTAATTAAATGTAATTTTCTTTTAAAAAAAATAAATAAAACAATTCATATTCTATTAATAAAGAGAAAACAAAAAGTTATGATAGTACTCAATTATTTAAAATGGTGTAAATAATAGACTTACACAAAATCATCACAAACTGTGTACCTTTCTTAAATTTTGAGAAAATTGGGCTCGGTTCATTGTGAGGCTTTATACTTGTATCAAACAAGATAGTGTGTTGGGAGAGGGAAATTCTCGCTCGCTGCCACTGATTTACTAGGTCGATTGATTTTTGGGGTGAACTAATGGAATATTTTAATGGAGAAAAATGTAATAACGTTTTTAGTTTTTACAGTAAATATAATGTTTGAAAAGAACGAAGCCCGGCCCTGTTATGTGGGTTGGGCGGATTGAGCTTGAATTCTAATATGGGCTGACCCGTATTTATAGCTCTACCTACCATGATGTAATTTTTTTTTTTAACAATTTAAAACAAGCTTCTATGAGCAACGGCAAACGAGCTCAAAGTGGATGTCAATTGGTGAGTAATGTTGGGAGATTATTGGCATGTTATTTTATCTAACTCAAATCACAATTTAAATTTTTTGTTACAGTATTTTTTTTCATAAAAATTTTAATTTACCTTTTTTAATTATAGTGTTCTCTCTCACGTACTAAACTCAAGTTCCTAACTCAAATTTTATAAAAGAACTTTTTTAGGGTTAAGTTAAAAGGAGAAAAGTCTCACATTAGAAATCTAAAAGGAAGATAAGTGATTTATGTTAAATGCGGGTGACAAGTAATTACTTATTTGTAGTGAGGAACTAGTAGGAACCTTATCTTTTTTTAGTTTGGTTTTTACTTTTTAGATCTTAAATCTGCATTGTCTATATAAACAAATGCGATCTTAAGATCGAATTAAATGTCTGTTAATAACATGTGTGATTATTTAGAAATAGTGCTCCGAATTATGTATATATTGAAAGACATTGACTCAAATAAATACGAATGTTAAAATACAGTTTCAAAGTGAAGGTGTTCGATGATGATCCGTTGATGAACAAACACGAATTTGGCTACAAATAAGACCCATAATATTCAGATTCGTTGTCAGTTTTAATTTCTTAGAGTTCAAAGAAATATTATAAGCTCACTATTTATAGAATTCGTGGATTTGCTGTATCAATTGTCAATGAGAGAATTGTAAGAAATCGTAAGCAAACATTTTTTAATGTCGACAAATAACACCTCAAGAAAATTACGCCTCAAAGATGTAATTTTGTTTTGCCCAAACAGTTTTCGGTCTCTTTCTTTTATGTTTTTTAACAAGTAATTAGGTGTACGTGGAACATTATTACAACACCAAAAAAGCAACACGCAATAAAAATTTAGAAGGAAAGAAGGATATTTTTAGGGGGTTTGCTCTTATAAAACCCAAAAAAATAATTACCAATAGTTTTTTTTATTTTTCAATTGTCAATCTATATCATAAACTATTTATTCTGCATTTTTTTAATTTAATGTAATTTTAATCAAATTTAACGATTAAAAACTAATTTGACTAGTACTGCGGCCTACCAGATAAAATCTCTAATTTTAGTCCAAGTATCAAGTGATACAGGTTAAAAACTTAGGGTTCGTTTGGTATAAGGATTGAAATCAGGGTGATTTGAGTCATTTGATTCAGATCTATGATTCATGATTTGAATCATGATTTAGAGTGATCAGAACCTTCGTTTGGATGTGTATATGCATGATTCTGATTCTAACCTGAAATGTGATTCGAACCAGTGTTTAGTTGTCTTATTTTCTGAATTTAAATCATGATCAAAATAAATATAATTTAAGAAATTATATAATAAATATAAATCGTTATGTGTAATTTAAAAAAATATATAATTCGTCGTATAATTAAAAAAATAAAGTATTAGAAAAAAATTATGTAAATAAAAGCCAAACATAACTTGTCTCCCACGAGCAACAATTTATAACAAGCCAATTAGTAGAAAAAAATTTACCACATCAAATACGAGAACAATTATATAACAAGCCAATGAAAAAAATTCTCACCCGCATGTCAAATCACCATGTCAAATCACATTTTTTTACTGTTTATGAGGTTTCAAACAGGTGAATTAGGGGGGGCCTGATTCCAAAATCAGGCCCCAAAATGATCCCAATCACTTTTTTGATCCCATTTTTTACTGTTCATTTTTATCTTTTCAAACACTGATTTAACCTTAATAAGGGGATTTGAATCCCTCAATCTCCCAACCAAACATGCACTTAGATAAAAAAAAAAAAAAAAAAAAAAAAAAAAAAAGACGATGATAACTATTCCCCAAAAAAGAAAAACAACTATAGCAATTTTATCCTGTTAGGTATTGGGAACTTAAAGAAGTAAAGACGATTTTCACGTGCACCTAAAAGAAAGAACCAAGGAGTGAGCGCCTGACTAAGGAAAGCTCCTCTTGAAACTGGATAGTCATGTCATGTGAGTTGACCAAAAGCACAATAAGGAAAACGAGCAGGAAAATGAGAACCACAAAGTACAATCCACTTTTTCCCTTCTTTTCCTCTTTTCCTCCCCTAGTTTTTAACTTCTTTCCAAACAAATAGACCACACATAAAAATATTATTTAGGTGGAGTTTCTCAAGTAGGTTTAGAAAAAATAAAGTATAAACTCCCGTTCATTTTATCGATTTGAATTTAAAATTTAAGTTTGTTATAGTAAAAAGTTCTCAGAAACAGTCACATTTAACTTTTTATCTACAGTAAAAAGCTCTCACATAAAGTCACATCTTAATTCGAATTAAAAACTCAAATCAACGAACTAAACGGGCCCTAATTAGTTCTCAGTTTTCAACTGTTAAATCTACATAAAAAATTGTCTATTATTTATTCAGTGTACTTTTTTTAAACTGATGTGATTTTAACTAGATCTAACAGCTGAACGTAGATACTACTATTAATTCATTTTTTTTAAGAACTACCAAAGAAACTCCCTTATTTAAGAGCTTTTTTTAGGGTGATAAAACTATTTTACCCTATCAATAAGAACTCTGTTTTTATGGTTGAATTAATTTTTTAATGGCTTGATCTGCAGTGGGAGCAATTTTATATTGCGCACTGTAAATTTTTAATGTGAACATGCACAAATATAACAGTTAAAAAACTAGCCTTACGGTTAATAACAAAAGTTTTTATCGGTAGAACAAAATAGTCTTATCCACTATAAATATTCTCCCTTTCATATGGTATCTCTAAAAGTATTTTATTTTTTATTTTTATATTCATGTCAAAGTATATGAAGTTGAAAGAACTTAATCTAACGGCACGTTTAGTTCGCTGATTCGAGTTGAGATGTGACTTTATGTTAGAGCTTTTTACTGTAGTAAAAAAATTAAATGTGACTGTTTCTGAGAACTTTTTACTATAGTAAAACTTAAATTATAAACTCAAATTAGTAAAAAAAAAAAAAGACCTAAATATGACAATTCAAAATAAAACTTTACAAAAGTCGTTTTACAAGTTGTGAAGATTTTAATGAAAAAGGTCCTTCTAACAGTAGGGCCTCCTATTGTAAAGTCTATTTGTGATCTTAAAATTTAGGTCTCGTTCATTTTACCGATTTGAGTTTTCAGTTTTAGATTTTTACAGTAAAAAGTTCTCAAAAAATATCACATTTAACTTTTTTAGTACAGTAAAAAACTCATAAATTATTACATCTCAGCTCAAATTAAAAACTCAAATTTGCAAAGTGAACGAAGCCTCAGTCAAAATCACGTATAAATGTCTTTTAAAAAGACAAGTAAAACAAATAATTTTAATAAAAGTCTAACAATTAAAAATAAAAACGAATGAATGGTTCATTTTTTTTAGACCTATTGTAAAAATAAAAAAAATATATATATATATATATATATTAGATGTTATCACAATTCTGGCATATCAAGCCCCACCACTATATTGTGGCCCATTGATATACGCCTCTGTGATTTTTCTGGCGGTGCATAGCTGCTGTCACATGGTGTTCTATTCACGTGCAGTTGTAACTGCCGACTTCAAAATCCAAATTTCAGCACGTGGGCCTTTTCTTTCTTTCCTTTTTCCCCCCCTCTTGTTGCTCAAGGGCCCCACTCCATCAACTAGTCTAGTCTAGTCTCTGTTGTCTCATTCTCCTCCACCCGTCATACTGATCCACAAGGAATTCTCACTTCCACCTTTTGCCACCTTTATTTGGGACCGTGTCTATTTAGAATTTATTCAGTTTGTTAATTTAAAATTTTAATTTAAATTAAAATATAATTTTATGTGAAAATTTTTATTATAATAAAAGAAATTAAATATAACAGTTTTTAAAAATTTTTTATTATAATAAAATTTAAATTTTAAATTTAAATCGATAAAATGAATAATATTTTAACTTTAACGGAGAATTCTCTATCGGAATTATGAATATTTTAAGGTTGAATCTTAGATTAGAATTGAAAACATGTCTCGAAACTTGATCCCTAATGCGATAATAATTTAGCATTTACCTAAACTTTTTGCAACATCATTATTGATCCCCATTATTCAGTGCAACATTATTTTTATTGTATATTCCGATCACTAAACTAAATAAAGTCACATGTTATTATTCTATTTCCTTGACGTGCTTGACTTTTGTGCTCTCTGCCACTTGATTTTGTACTATAACAATTTAAAAGAAAAAAAAATAAAAATTAATCAAAAGAGAGAGGAATAACGAACCCCATGAGTACCGTAAAAGTAACACCTTTTATTTTTATTTTTATTTTTATTTTTCTCTTTTCCCCACCTTTTAAAATCTGGTATATATTTGTTTGTGAGATCTGTGTTTCAGAACAATATATATATTGATTCCATAGCGTTCACTTGTGCCACATAAAAACATCTATTTATATTGCTGCTTTTGCTGTCTTGTGTTTTATTAATTACGTCTATATTTTTTTTGCCTCAATATGGAGTTTCTGCAACTCATATTCCTAATCTCCTTTACCATACCTTTATGCGTCTCTTTGATCTTCCAAACTTGTGCTGGTGAAAAATGGTTTAGCTCGTCATCAGATTATCAACATCTTTCAGTCAGAGACCAGATTGTTGGATTGGCTAATGACCCCAATACGGTGAAATGGATGAAGAGCATAAGGAGAAGAATCCATGAGAACCCGGAACTTGCTTTCCAAGAATTCCAAACTAGTGAGCTTATAAGGCATGAGCTTGATCGGCTCGGTGTTTCGTATCGGTGGCCCGTGGCGCGGACCGGCGTCGTTGCCACTATTGGGACCGGCTCTCCACCCTTTGTTGCTCTCAGAGCAGATATGGATGCCTTGCCTATTCAGGTAACTTAAAAAAAAAAAAATTATGTTCAGCTAATCATTTTTTTTTTTTTTGGGAAGAAAAATTGTTGGGACTAATCAGATTATTTTTTCTTTTTCCTATTGAAAGTCTAATCAGATAAGTTAGTCCTCCCAAATAATTGTATTCTTAAAATCATTTTATATTTCTAATCAATGCACTATTTATCAGACAACTTCAATCAGTGATTAGGACATAACTGTAGATGATGCTAATTACCAAGGTCGCCCAAAAGGCTATCAAATATGATCATTTACGACTTTGTTAGCAGAGTTCTCTCTCCGTTTATTTCACTGATTCAAATTTTTTTATAATAAAAAATTCTCATAAACAATCACATTTAATTTTTTTACTACAGTAAAAAATTTACATAAAATTACATCTCAACTTAAATTAAAAACTCGAATCAACGAATTAAACGGGCTCTTAATAATCACGTGACATGATACAAAAGTTGAAAAGTTTTGACATTTGAAAATTGAACAAATTTAATAATGATAGAGTAACATATTCTAAGACACTGTTTAAAACTCTGGTACAATGGGTTTAGTAATGGGAACATAAAAGCGTTTGGTGGATGAATTCAGAATTATAATTTTAAATCTTGATTCAGAATTAGTATTTATTTACAGTGATTTTGAATCATGATTCAAAATCAGTGTTTGATTTAGATGATTATAAATCATGATTCAAAATCTGATGTGATGTTTTAAACTAACTCAAATTATGATTTTAAAATCACTCCCCCTCTTAATTCAATGTGATTCAAACTCCTGATTCTGATTTTGAATCATGATTTGAACAAAAAATCATGAATCATAGTTTTAATTTCAGAATTATAATTAGAATCACCGTGATTTAAATCCTCGTACAAAACGAACTCAAAAATTGGTCTTTGTAGCATTTTTATCCACACTCTGTCTGAATGTGTGTGGTCAAGTGAGCTGATTTTTTCCCCCCCTCCTGAATAAACTTGACATGGGAAATATTGCATTGATTGAGTTAGGAACTGGTGGAATGGGAGCACAAAAGCAAAAAGGACGGAGAAATGCACGCTTGCGGTCACGACGTGCACGTTACGATGCTCCTTGGCGCCGCAAAGATACTTAAAGAACTCAGAGATCTGTTACAGGTGAAATCAAATTGTGCCAAGATTTATTCAATTTAGTGCATTCCATTTCTTTCCCTTCACTGCTATAATATGGTCACATTGAATTCCCATGTCTTGCAGGGAACTGTAGTACTTCTATTCCAACCAGCTGAGGAGCGTGGTTTTGGTGCAAAGGACATGATTAAAGAAGGGGCGCTTGATGGGGTAGAGGCCATCCTTGGCTTGCACGTTTCGCCTGACTTCCCCACAGGCGTTGTTGCAGCGCGGCCAAGGGAATTTCTCGCTGGCTGCGGTAGCTTCACTGCGAAAATCAGCGGCAAAGGTGGTCATGCAGCAATTCCACAACAATCCATTGATCCAATCTTGGCAGTGTCAACCTCAGTAATCAGCTTGCAGAGCATTGTTTCCAGAGAGATAGACCCTTTAGATTCCCAGGTATGTTGGATTTATACCCTGTAGATGTGGAGTAGCATTAGTCATCTAACTAAAACCGAGTTTGTTTATAATAATACTGATCAAAATTTAAATCCTTGACAAGAAAGCACTTGTAAGATTTATAGTAATTCACCTTGAATATAAAGACTCCGTCTATCTTTCAGCCACCGTAGAATTTTATTATGATGAAAACGAAGATCACAAGAAAAACAGACTCAATCCTTTCAGACTCTCTGTTTCTTATCCAACCTTCAGTACTACAAAATCGGCACCCCTTACATAAGCATAATTAGGAGTAGCATAGTCATCTAACCATAACTAAGCTTGTTTTCACGTTGAGTATGAAAGCTACGTTTACTTTCAGTCAGAACTTCACTATAATGAGGAAAAAAAAAAAAAAAAAAAAACAGAGACCTCAAGTTTTAATGTTATTTTCTCTAACCTTTAGTAATACTAAATCGGCACTCCTTTTGTATATTTAGGGAAAGTAAAAAAATACTTGAACAAAAGTCTAATGTACTCTTACTAAAATTTGATTGATCCGTGTGCAAAGCATCCAGACAATAGTAAAAATGGAACGTTTTATCTGTCCACGAATTCTTGGAATTTTAAATCTCGTATAAGGTTACGTTAGTTTTTTTTTTTTTTTTTTTTTCACCTTAGATAGTGACGAATTGCAGGTAGTTTCTGTGGCTATGATTCATGCGGGGACAACTTTCAATGTCATCCCTGATTCGGCTACAATAGCCGGTACTTTTAGAGCTTTTAGCAAGAAAAGCTTCAAGGCTTTGAGGGAAAGAATAGAAGAGGTAACAAAAAAAAAAAAAAAAAAATTAAACACCTAGCTTTACAAATTATCAAGACAAGTACTAGAATTAGCTTGTAAAAATTTTTGCAACTTTCCAAGGTGAAAATTGACTTTCTTTTGTGTTTAGGTCATCAAAGGGCAAGCGGCGGTGCACCGGTGCACGGCTGAGATTGACTTCTCCGGAGAGGGACAAACAAGTATTCCACCGACCATAAACAACGAGAGAATTTACAAACATGTGCAGCGCGTCTCAAGCGAAATAGTCGGAGAAGAAAACACACAATTGTCCAACACCATCATGGGGAGTGAAGATTTTGCTTTCTACTTGGATAAGGTTCCCGGATCATTCTTGATGTTAGGCATAAGAAATGAAAATATGGGAGCCATATATTCACCACATAGCCCTTACTTCCTTGTTGACGAGGATGTGCTTCCCGTTGGGGCAGCAATACATGCAGCTTTCGCAGTTTCTTACCTCTCGGATTCATCCAAGAAGTTAAATTCACAATGCTAGCTCTTTTGTGTCTATATATAATACATATGTATATACATTTTCACAAAATTTTCCCTCAATCAATCCATTGAATGTTTTACAGATTCAACTCTCTTGAATCTGTTTGTCCTTATTTTGATCAGGGTAATATTGAAAGAATTATAAGGTGTAACACATTATTTTTCTTGGGGGTTTCACAGGTATAAGCAATCGATTGAGGAACATGAATGCTATAACCCCAAATGTATATACTTTTCATGTATAATCCCTATTTACCCAAGTATTGAAGCAAAGAAGCTGATATTCTCTCCTCTTTGTTCTTTTCATTTATAACAAATACGGTACTTCAATAAAATGATAACATGGAATGGCAAATAGATCAAACAAACATCAAATACCAAATTGAAAAAAGTACATTAGAGAAAACCATGTAAGTACATGTGTTATTCCAAGTGGACCAAACTCATCATGACATGATGATGAGAATTTAGAAAACAAAAGAAATAATATCATGTGTTCTGAGTCCCAATAAAAGGACTCGAGACTTTTCGACTAATAAGACTTGTGGACTGTGTCATTAGTCTTATAAGTCGAAAGAAACAAACAAAGAAAACAAAGGCATGGCCAACAAATACCAAGAAAACAAACACCTCAGATCCTCTCCCAAAAAGCCAGAAAGGGAAAAGCGAGAGCAAGAACTCCGAGCATCATCGACGGATAAGCGAAGCTGCCGTGATTTTTACCATGGTCATGATCATGGCTTGGTGAAGGAGCCATTTCCATTCCTGGTGTGTGTTCATGGCCTTCGTGCGCGGCAACAACCATGGCAAAGAGCGCTAAACAAGCAACGAAACATGCCCATTCGACTTGAGAAGCCATTTTTTCTGGTATTAGTTATTACAATACTGGCTTAGTGGCTTTCGTTGTTGGGGAGGATGTCTTTTCGCCGTGAATTTAAGGTATTAAAGGGGGTTTATATATAGTGTGATTAGCGCCACATATTGTAGATGTAATCTGTACTACCATATTGGCGGACACATTTTTTCCGTTATTGCCTAGAATTAAATCCTTATAAATAGGGATATAACTTTTCAACCAAAAAAAATAGGAATAAAACCAAGTAAACCACGAATAAAAAATAGCTTTGAAAAAAAGTGTTATAAATGTCAACGGTACTAGGGATTGTACTATCCAATTATGTGGTATGTACTACACATTGCAGGCGTGGCGAGAAGAACAACCTCTCAACTTTGCTTTATCAATGTAGGATAAGGAAAATTCTTGCATATCATTTTATTAATTTATGGACTTGTTTAATTTATTAATTTTAATTGAGACTGATTTTATATGAGATTTTTTTATTATAATAAAAAGATTAATTATAATTATTTTTAAAAAAATTTTATTGTAACAAAACTCGAATAGGTGAAATGAACGGGGCCTTATATTTTTACAAGAATAACAGGAATAGTTTCAAATTTAAGGCTTTTAACATTGCATCATACTCATCGCCATAGTTAGAAACTTTACGTATAATATGCCTATTACAGTAAGTATTTTTGAATTAAATATCTGAATTATGTTTTTTTTAATAGGTAATTGTGTTCTAAGTTTAGCATATATAGACAGTAATACTGAGCTCTTTACACAGGATACTTAACCCTGATAACTTTGTAAGTATGCGACTCTAATTTTGATTTTTCTTTTTTTTCCTCCTAAAAAACGCTTAAGCAGTATAGTGCGTACATATTTTTGAATAAAGAAAAAATATGCTTACTTTTCACTAGAATTTAACGTGTAATACATGAATACGTATTTGTAGTCCAAAAACATTTTTTAACACTTTCATTTTTCAAATATATATATATATATATATATTGAAATGGCACATTCAAATATATTAATCTTAGTTTATTATTTTCTTGTTATATTTAAATCTAAATGTTGACTTTTTTTTTGTTATCAATATATAGTTTTTAATCATTAAAATCACATTAAATTTCATTGTACTTGTTAAATACGCCGTGACTCAAACTCCCAAGAGAATAGAGAAGTTTGTGGACGTTTGGTTCATAAATTTAACATCATGATTCATAATCATTCTTGATTTATTTGTGTTTTTTATGAGAGAAAATACTGTAATGAATCATAAACCATGATTCGAATCATGACATAAATCTACCAACCAAACGCACCTATGATTCGGATCATAGTTCGTGGCTCATTACAATATTTTTTCTCACAAAAAACACACATAAACTGAAAATAATTCTAAATTACAATTCTGAACTTATGAATCAAACGTCATTGTCGCACTGTCCATCCCTCATAAAATCCGTAATTGAAATTTCAAGCAGCGGTTGTGCAAATCCCAAGCGCTAGGATGGAATGCACCCACGCTCGAGCTCTAGCGCCATTAGCCAATCTTCAAACCTTGACTAACATCGTGAATTCACAGCATTTATCAACAATTATTATAGGAGATCAATATCCCAACTCGCTCTATTTAATTAATGTCAATAAAGAAAAAAACTTATTTTCCTTTTTTTTTTTTTCAAAAAAATTAACAAATAAATCTTTTATATCAAAAGCAAATTTCAACGTTTATCAATCATCTCCGATTGTCTATAAATTCCTCAAATTTTGAGAGGTCAATATACACATTTTTCTATGCTATCAAAACTACATTGATTTAAAAAGAACCTTATGCGTACTTAAATTAATGTATCGAGAAACTTTTTTAATATCGGATTTCGTATTTTATCATCCTTTTTGTACTACTTTATTAGAATTTACTGATAGAATCATTTTTATAAAGTGTTTTGTATTATGTAACACAAGTTCAAGGAAATTTTTTTGGTGTTTGAAGAATGTACCAACACATGTAATTTTATGCCAAAATTTTGAACGCATTACTTATTTGGAAATACAAATTATACTGTGCTTATCATTTGTCGTATTAATTCGTACAGTATTTTCTCAGTTTCCAAAAACACAGTAATAATAGCCTATAGCAATACTCTTGCAATAGATATCACAATTCAAATTTTATTATTACAATATTTTTTTTATAAAAATTTAAATTTTATTTTTTTATTACACTATATATATATTTTTTTTATAAACACAATTTACATTCTTAACTTGAGTCGTATAGTTGAGGTCATGTAGTTCAACTTTAAACCGTTTCAGGAGAATGAGTAAACGCAGCGCCAAAATAATAAAAACAACAAAAGTGGCGCCCATTATTTATTCATTTTTGAAGTCAAAATGTTTTATTTATTTATTTTTTTTTTTGATGAAGTCAAAATGTTTTCTCTTCTCTATTTTTCACCCTTTGGAAAAGTCCTACAAGCCAATATATATTTTTCTCTTTTTTTTCCCCTTTGGAAAAGTCCTACAAGCCAATATATATTACCCAAATCTATCTTCTTCTATCTGTTTATTTATTTATTTAGATCCATTTGTCTATGACACAACTTCCTAACTGAAAGATTTTTTTTAATTAAAAAAAAATCCCTAACTGAAAGAAACATATATTCCAGCTCAATCATGTATTTTTTGATATGTTTTATTTTAATTTAAAGTTTTAATCCTTATATATTTGATAAAGAATCAAAATATCAGCTTTACTTCATGAGATAATTACACGACAAAATTTTACATCTTAAGTTTTTTTTTTTTAAAAAAAAAATTATAAAAATAACAAAAATATCATAACAATTATCATAGCGGTGCATATTGTATTAAATAATTACGTAGTCATTATTTTAATGACATCAAAATATGTTATTCTTATAATATTTGAAGAATCTTTTTATATATCAACTTTACTATTTTTAGATTTTTCCTCTTCAATCCTAATCTACAATTTAAACTGCGGTGATAATAACACATACGAGTTAATTATCTTTGCGGCATAAAAATATAGCTGCAGTTTGTGAATTTTCTATATATGACGTAATGCATATGGTTTAATGACCTTGTTGATCTTAATAATAATATTATTAATTTTAATTTATTATATAATCAATTTTGATAATTATATTAATATATCCCTTAACAAAATGATATTATTATATTATTTATCCCCTAATTTAAGGGATCATTAATCTTCTTTAAATGAATCAAATCCTTAAAATTATGAGATTTTTTGCTCAATATAATACGTATATTGAAATGCAGAATTTTAAATTTTCCCATCTGAGAGTGCAACATATCAAAGATACTAGCAACATTATAATAAAAAAATGTATATAGACAAAAATAGATAGATAATGAAAAAATAACATATCATTACAATAATGAATATATCATTATATAAAAGAACAAGAGAGATAATTGAAACACGAACACAAACACATGTCAGTCTTTTTATATTATCATTATAATGAATATATCATTATAAAAAGGAACAAGAAAGATAATTGAAACACGAACACAAACACATGTTAGTCTTTTTATGTTATCATTATAATAATGAATATACCGTTATAATACAAGCATAAGAAGAAGCATTATTAAGACAGAAACACAGATGAATGTAATTTTCATAAATTATTATTTAACAATGAATATATCATTATACACTAACTGAAATCGACATCACCCGCGAACAATATGTGAATTTGAAACAAATATTAAAAGGAAAAAAACGATAAGTTCACCTATAGGTACATTTAAGAAATTCAGCTATGGAAAAATTATGGAAATTAGTTACGAAAAGTAAACATATGATAAAGTCAACTCAAAGGTATTTTTACGTAGTCAAGAAATAAAATTCAAAAATCATCCATATAAATGATATTCTCAGCTCCGTTTGATAGAAAGGTTTAATCTATGTTGGTTCTAGTTTTGGAACCAGAACTATAATTCATAATTCATGGTTTAAACTGGGGCTCAAACTATGAATATTTGAGTTTGAATCATGTAAACCAAAATCATGATTTTGAGTAAGCTAAAACTAAAAAGAGGAGGTAATTTTATTTTTTAGGGCAGTTCTAGTTTAAAACATAGGGTTTAAATTTTGAACCAGAATCATTCAAAATTAAACATTGATTTGTTGGACTGGATTTAAACCACTTTTTATTTTTTACAAATAAACACTAATTTAAATCAGAATCATAGCTTTAATTCTAAAATCCTCGTACCAAACGGGCCTCATGCAACAACGAAGCCTCATTTTAATCAGAAATAGTAGAAAATAGGCCAATATGAAAAGCTTAAGGAAGTATATAGGCCAGCTTTTAGTTATAGAAATTAATAGGCCATAACTTGTCAAGTTATGGTTCATAACCAGATAAGTTATGGACAAACTTGTCAAGTTATGATTCATAGCCAGACAAGTTATGGACAAAAATCGTGATTTATGGACAATAACTTGTCAAGTTATGATTCATAACCAGACAAGTTATGAATAAAAATAGTAATTTAGCCTATTTATTAACTTATATAAACTATTAACCTATTAATTTTAATTCATTTCAAGTCTTGACCTATTTTTCTCTTTCTCCCCATTTTAATTCTCCAGGAAAAAGGTGGTGACATTGTGTAATTATCCAATGGGTTGGGTTTACCTTTGGGCCCAAAACAACAAGATACGGACAATACGGGATCACCCACACAGACGACTCCAGCGTATTTGGGCCAAGCATAAGCAAACCCAGTTGGAAATCCGGAGCAATCGAGCAGCAAGACTTTTGCACTTGGCACTCTGGTAACCGATAGACAGAACGAGAACTTTCAGAAAATCCGAACATTCCCGGAGATCCGCCGTCTCTCTCTCTCTCTCTCCCCTCCATTGCAACGAAGCTCAGAATCCAAGGCTTCAACATCTATGTGCCTCTGACTCAAATTCTATGGGCTCCACTTCCGCCATTTCCCTCTGCTCTCTTCCTAAGGTAAAAACCACCAACTCTCTCTCTCTCTCTCAATGTCAGTTTGACAAAAATGCGTTTTTGATGCTCAGATTTCGCTGCGGTCTCAGACGCACAAGCAGAGACTAGAAGCGCTCCAGGCGTTGGGTGGACCTTGCTCGAACTTTCCGACTGCTCTCTCGCTCCGGAGGAAGAGAGGCTTGCGGCTCAGGAGCTTGGCGGTGAAAGTTTCTGCTTCTTCTAGGGCTGACGGTGGCTCCAGGAGGTCGGTTTCTGCTCGGAGAGTGTACAGGCAGTCTCAATCCGAGAGCCCGTTATCCGTTGCTCCGCTTCAGCAAGTTGCTTCCGTCGCCGTCCCCGCCGGCTTGTTTTTGGCCGTCACTTTTGGTAATTGATTTCGGCCTCAAAATTCTTATTTGGAAAGATGGGAATTACGTTTGAATTGAATGATTGTAGAAATCAGTTGCTTTTAGGCCTTGAATTGAAAAGTTTAAACCTTTTTGTTGTATCGGAATGCTAAAGTAAGGTGTTTTATGACTAGAATTTATATACGGGCTTAAGTTTAATGTTCAATGTATATGTGTGAATGCTAGCCTATTTTCTTGTTGGGTTTCTCAATGGTTGTACTAATTTATGTCTTCAGCTGACAGTTTTGTGGAAAGTGGTGGAGAAACTCCTCACTCCGAAGTCCAAGAGGGCGACGAATGTAGAGGAGAAAACTTCTGCACAAGGTTTGAAGTGGTCGTTTGCTCCGGGTACGAATTTGCTATCGGGGCTTAGTGCAAAGATTGATAGAGAGTCCAAGGAGAGGCTCAATGAATTCGCCAAAGAACTCAGAGCATTCAGTGTTGTTGACATGTCAGGTATGACACCATGGTTGTTGAAGATGATAAAGACGTGCGTTCTTAGCTATGAGTTATGATGATTTCATACTTGTACGCGGATCTTCTTCAGAATGGTTAACTAAAATTTTCAATTTCAATGCAATATTCTTTATAAATGGCCTTATTCTTATCAGTTTCCTCTTCGTACATATTTATTTCAATCATTGAAATGGATTTTTGTTTCCCTTTTTGCTTATTTCTTTCCGACTATTACCTATAGGCTATCTCCAATCGTAACGTTGTGCATAATGACAACGTGTTTTGAACAAATTCTTGCAGGATGCAATTTTAGCGACGAAGGATTAATTTTTCTTGCTGAAAGGTTAGCATACAATCAGGTTAGAGCATGAATCTATTTTGACTTGGTGAATTCGGGATAAATGTTGGTATTTAGTATTATGACTACCCTCTTTTGATGCGATCAATCTATGAGGGAAGGAAAACTTTTGCAATGTATTTTCTAACTTTAATCTTGGCAGAAAATGCTTGAAATCCTGTGTTCTTAATCAGTTAACTGATCATATTGTTGGGCTTATGACATATATTTGTTATGTTTCAGACTCTTGAAGGAGTAAGTTTTGCTGGAAATGGAATAACTGCTACTGGGTTAAAAGCTTTTGATGGTATTCTGCAATCAAACATCATGTTAAAGACTCTTGATCTTTCTGGAAATCCTATTGGAGATGAGGGAGCTAAGGTACGCCCAAAGTCCACTCTTTTATAATAGTTTCTTTTTATACTTAAAACCTAGCAATTTTATCTCGTATTCTTGCATATCGGAAGATAACAATCTGACAGTGAAAAAGCATTCTCATAAGCATGTTATTGCTTATTGTGCGCTGCAGCGTAATATTATATGTGTTATTCTTTTTCACAGTGCCTAAGTGATATACTGGTTGATAATACTGGTATTACAAAGCTTCAGTTGAACAGTACGAACTTGGGGGATGAGGTTAGTCACTTCTAGCCAAGACTAGTTCCCTTAAGAGCATGATCATCTGCTTCCTGAATTACTATTGTTGTAGGCCCTGCCTTTCCAATTAAGATGTCTTAAGTCGACAGTGATGCTACTTTATCATGCAGGGTGCCAAGGCTATCGCAGAAATGTTGAAGAAAAATTCTACCTTGCGTTTTGTTGAACTTAATAACAATATGATTGACTATGCTGTATGTACCCTTCAACTTATTCCAAGATTTTGCATTAATTCTAATTAGTCAAATGTGGTCAAATCTTATCTTTACTTCTTTTTTTAAAATGACGACAGGGCTTTACAAGTTTAGCTGGAGCTCTTCTCGAGAATAAGACACTACGATATATACAACTTAAGTGAGTGTTATTTGTCTTTTTTCTTTATTTTAACACGATGTATTTTGTTTACATAAGCTATATTTCCTCGTTTATTACTAAGGTATGCTTATGATCTTTTCACTTTCTATCCTTCTGATGTAACTTTTCTTTTTCACATCATTTTATTGTTTAAAGTGGCAATTATGGTGGTGCCTTGGGGGCTAATGCTTTGGCTAAAGGACTTGAAGGGAACAAGTCTTTGCGGGTACTTTGTCATTTCTTATTACTTGTTTCTGTTCCACATATGTGTCTCTTTATTATTTATCTTTTATTTTTTAATGAATACTTTTAAATAAGACGGATTTTATTAAAGAAAGAAAAAAAAAAAAGGCATCAAGTTAACTACCAAAGTCCTGGTCAGGTGTTCCAATTGGGACAAGGACAAACTACCATTACAAGATCTCTACCCAATGTGTTTATAAGCTTTTATCAATATATAATACTCTTGAGAATCATATTGATTTTATACCTCAGGAGCTTCATTTGCACGGAAATTCAATTGGGGATGAAGGAATACGTGCTTTGATGTCAGGTCTATCTCAACATAAAGGTTGTATTTTGCTAGACGTATTGTTTGTTTCGGTTCAGAAGCACATGGTTATTTTTACGCGTTATTTACTTTCAGTAGTTTATTGATATGTAACTTTCCTCAGGCAAAATTACCCGTCTAGAGATTGGCAACAATTCAATAAGTGCAAAAGGTGCCTTTCATGTTGCTGAATATGTCAAGAAGAGCAAGAGCTTGTTGGTGTTGAACATTAGCATGAATGATATTGGTGATGAGGTATTGATATTTCAAATTCGTTAACCACTTTTTCTGGACCATTCAGATAACCTTATCTTGGTGGGTTGAAATTCTGCTGCAACTTCCTTTAAAAAAATCTGCTGCAGCTATCCTGTCAGCCAACTTACTAGACCATCTAGATACCCTTATCTTAATGGATGGAAATTCTATTGCAGCTGTCCTGATATATCAACTATTTCATGATTTTTTTTTTTGGCTAATTTTAGGTTGACTTTTTCAGGGGGCTGAAAGAATTGGAGATGCATTGAAGGAAAACCGGTCAATAAAAAGTATAGACGTGGTTAGAAGATTAGCTTGTTGTTTTGTTATGATATGCATATTTATATATTGAAGTGATTTTTGAAAATCCAATACCCCTCCATATCTGGAAAAGTAACGTTCGATTTTACAGGCAGGAAATAACATTCAGGTGAAAGGTGTCACTTCAATAGCCCAGACTTTGAAAGATAATTCTGTCGTTACAACTGTATGTTCTTCACCATCCCATTCAACTTTTCTTCTTCTCTCTTTTTGGGTGTAATGACATATTCTTCTCTCTCAGTTGGAAATTGGTTATAATCCCATTGGACCAGAAGGTGCAAAAGTTTTGTCTGACGTTCTCAAATTCCATGGCAACATTAATAACCTCAAGCTTGGCTGGTGTCAGGTAATCGACTGTCATATCACGCATATCTGATTGGAGAATTTTTACCTTAAAGGACTCTTATTTAGTTAAATTTAACATATTGTGTTGCAGATAGGAGCAAAAGGTGCAGAGGCCATCGCTGATATGTTAAAATACAATAGTACCTTATCCTATCTTGACCTAAGGGGAAATGGCCTAAGAGATGAAGTTCGTTTCTGAAAATTGTTTCGTCTTTATGTGCTATCTGGGCTAGTTTGTGGATTCAATCTTAGATAACTTTCTATAAATCAATGATTTCAGGGAGCTATTTGCCTGGCTCGTAGCTTAAAAGTGGTTAATGAAGCTCTAACTACACTAGATCTTGGGTTCAATGAGATAAGGGTATTTGCTTATTTTCGTATTCTCATTTACATGTTAGCAATATTTTGCAAGCTTACATTTTGGTTTTGCGTGCAGGATGATGGGGCTTTTGCCATTGCTCAAGCACTAAAGGCTAATGAAGACGTGAGAATTACGTCTCTGAATCTTTCCCGTAACTTAATGACCAAATTTGGACAGGTTAGTTTTCATGCCTCCTTGGACCCACTAAACTATGTCACCTTCTTCTCTTGTATTATTTTGTCGTCTTCATATGTCAATTGATCAACTTTTATATGGTACAGAGTGCTTTAACGGATGCAAGAGACCATGTATATGAGATGACTGAAAAGGAAGTAGAGGTTATTTTCTAAAAAGTATTTATTCAAGGGAAAATAGTTGTGGTTAACTTGGTAGAACATTGTTTAGGTGATGATTCTTTTCTCGGCTAGTTTTGGCAAGGACAACAGAGTACTTTTGGTCCAAATTATTGAGTTCTTACCGATCTCCTCTTAAGGAGTCGTTGGAAATTTTGACGGTGAGAGATGATAGATAGTCACATCAAGGTTACTATTTAATTCTTCTTAGCCATTTGATTTTTTTTTTTTTTTTGATTTTGAATTATGTAAGCTAAGGCTTATTCGTTTCACTAGTTTGAATTAAAAAATTTGAGTTAAAAGGTGAATTTATGTTTTACAGAAAAAGTTAAATTTAAATTTTTATGAAGGAAAACTTATGCCTAAATACTAAATATGCTTCAAGGGAAAAAAAAAAAAAGTGTTCTTTGCCCTTGGGGGAATAGTCCATGTCATGTGGTTATAATACAGAGACAACGAGTCATTTCCTTTGCGAGTTTGAGCGTCTCAAATGGTCGTCTGCGACTGCCGTTGTTGTTTTGGACGGAATGACATGTTTTACATGTAAACGATTGTTATAAAGACGAAATCCTTTTTGCATGTAAACGATTGTTGTAAAGACGAAATCCTCGCATTCACGAAACGAGGAAAATTGATAAGGTTGGTTTTCGCGGGGCGTTTGTGTAGTAAATGTTTTGAAAATAAAAATAGTGGGAATGATTTTTGTAAATGAATTAAATAACAGTTAAAAATTTTTATTTTTTTTTATTTTTTAATATTTATCAATAATATTATAATATATTAATTAATAAATATGATTTTATTTTTTTATTATACTCAAAATAATCTTTTAAAAAATTAATTAAACGCAATTTCAGAATTAGTCCTAAAATGATTCTAAGGGGATTTCAAACGCACTCGTCATTTTGTAGACGGAAAGAGAAACGACATTTGGGGGAGGGGTGTGTCTGAAACTGTTTTTCAAAATATTTTGTTACGTATTTTGAGAAGCAAAAAATGATGTTTGTTTAGTAAATGCTTTGAAAATAAAAATAAAAACAGTGAAAACAATTTTTGTAAATGAATTAGAAAACAGTTAAAAGTTTTTACTTTTTTAGTTTCATTTTTAATACTTATCAATAATATTATAATATATTAATTAATAAATATGATTTTATTTTTTTATTATACTCACAATAATTTTTTAAAAAAATAATCAAATGTAATTTTAAATCAGTTTCAAAATGATTCTTAAAATAATTTTATTTTTATTTTTTATTAAAAATAAAATTATTTTAAAACTAGTTTCAAACGCACCCGTCATTTTGTAGATGGAAAGACATTTTGTTTTTTTTTTTTGTTGTTGTTTCTTTTAGTTTTCAGTATTTTATTGTTTTTAACATGAAGTTACTTTAAGAACGATGTTATCCAGATGATGTTACAGGCTCATCGACAAATTTTTTTTTTTTTCCCTTTGTGAAGAAAAGAAAAGATAGTTAAAAACAGGATTAACACAAAACGTTTATTTCATGTCATTGTTGGCTGTCATTCTAATACTTAATTGTCATGTTATTTAAATTTAATAATCTCACTACATAAATATAGATGGAATATTAAATATACAAAGAGACAGTTAATAAGACAAAAAAAATAAACAGATCTTGAGTTGTTTTCATTCCGTGGAGGGTGCAATTAATTCAAAAAATAGCAATTTGAAAATGTGAAACAGTTCAAAAGTCAGTTTAACGGCTAGCTTGATTCTTCCAATGTGCCGATATCTGATGATGCTGCACGCCTTAGCAAATGACGAAAGACATTTCGGGCATTCTATTTTAGCTGTTCAATAAGGAGTCATTGATGCCATAAATACAAATTTATAACAACTTTTAAGTTACCACATTGAGATGGTCATCACAAGTGGCAACAATATACAATGGTTTTCTGGCGCTGAGAGAGTGGTTGGCAGAATTCTACGGTTGTCTTTAGAAATAGTATCCACGTCATAGTTGTAAATTAAGAATTCGTTTAGTTCACTCATTTAATTTTTTAATTTAAATTTAAATATAATTTTATATAAGAGTTTTTTATTATAATAAAAAATTTAAATATAAATTTTTTATTATAATAAAACTTAAATTTTAAATTTAAATAATAAAATGAGCGGGGCTAAAATTATAGGTGATAATTTGTGTTACATGTCGTGTTCGTATCGTGTTTTGATCATTTCTTTTTAAATTTACAGTCAACCCGAACACGACCCGTGACACGAAATTTTTTAAAAACCGCAACACGAATACGACACGACCACTTTATGGGTTGACACGACACGACACGAAAATAACCCGTGACATGAAATTGATCCGTGAACTTAAAATTGACACGAAAATTGTATATTTTTATTTAGTTTTTTACATATTAAAAATAACTTAAAAATCATAACACACTAAAATACAATAACATCCATTGAAATTAATCAAATAATACTATAAGATTTTGAGTATAACTATCATGGTATCATAAGTTCATAATAAAAGTGTATTTTTTAATTTTTTATGAGTTTCGTATCGTATTCGGGTTAGGTGGGTCCAACTCGAATTTGATCAGTGTTTTTCGTGTCAATTTCAGGTCGACTTAATTATGATCTAAATATCTTTTTTTTCAACCTTAATTCATAAAATTTGTGTCGTTTTTAAATCGTATTATCGTGTCGTAACTCGTATAGCCGTTTCTAGCTAAAACATCAACTTTTGCAGTTTCACACTATTGGTGACTTGTCGTAGCTATCTTGATGGCAGCTGGGCCTCTTGGAAATTGATGAGCTCTTTCTTTCAAAATTTCCTATGCTGCACTTATGATGACTCAGCTTTTGTTTTTATCACCCTACGAATGGTTCCTATGCCCGCTCGCGGACCAATTATGATGACTCAGCTTTTATCACCCTTGGAATTATTAAGCTCAGAAGTGATCAGAGTAGTAAGTGTCCATTTAATTATATGACATTTCTTTCGAGCATGTATATCTTAGACAACTTATAGTTTACGTCACAAGAGCTCAAGAATATTGTTAAATCTCTCTGCTCGTGGTTATTCATTGATTTTCTTTAGTCCAATGATGTTAAAAATATTGTTAAATGATATACTTTAGTATGGTCTTAAGTCCGGTGACTGCACAGTATGTTTGAGTGTAATATTTTTCATATAAACTTGTAATTTTTAGTGAATATGGTAACATTAAAGCATGTTTCATGTAATACGATGGGAGATTATTTATCTGAGTGTCACACTCAGATAAAATGAGTGTTATAAAGACGCACAAATGATGTTACACAAATGAATAAAAAGTGCCACATATTTGTACGGTTGTGGACGAGAGTCATTTCCTAACATTATAATATAATAACTATAAGAGTTCTGCTTTAGCTCATTAATATCATCTTAGCGGCAAATAATTAATTAGAACTTGAGTCATGTTAATTGTTCCAAAGATTAATACAAGAGCCGCCAACTTAGAAGAAGAGGAAAACAAAGATAAAAAAAGAACAATCCAAAAGATATTGGTCCTTAAAATTCATGCACACCAAACCAAAAGTAAAGCCATAAAAGAAGGATGGATTCTTCTAGGGAAAATGATCACCTTAGTTGGCATTATATATATATATATATATATATGTATATGTGCAGAGAGTAGGTAGAGATGGTAAAGAGTAAGCAATATTCGCAGCATACCAAGAAAGGCAAGCAAGTGTCGGGTGGCTCATGATGCAATTCAATCTTTTACAGCTCAACATGAGCGAGCAAGCACAATATACGCGGTTTCTGCCACCTCTATCCTGATGAATAGAATAAGTCTCATTTATTTTATTAATTTAAATTTAAAATTTAAATTTTATTATAATAAAAAATTTTCATAAACAGTTATATTTAATCTTTTTATTATAATAAAAATTTTTTATATAAAATTATATCTCAATTTAAATTAAAAATTTTAATTAATAAATTAAACGAGCCCATAATATCTCTGTACATTCCCTTTTAACGAAGGACAAGATGGTACGATTGTTACGTCTAACTCTCTTTCTTATCCATCTATAGCTTCCTCAAAATCTGTCCTCTTCTTAAATTTAGATATACTACCGAATGCACATACAACAATATTGAGGTTGGTTTATTTTATCAATTTAAATTTAAATTTTAAATTTTATTATATAAAAAATTTTAAAAAATAATTACATATAATTTTTTTATTATAGTAAAATTTTTTTATTTAAAGTTATATAGTAACTTAATTTAAATTAAAAATTTAAACCAATGAACTAAATAAACTGTGAGATGAGGTTTTGGTAGGGTTGGATTTTGAGATAAAAGATGCGGGTTCAATCCGTCTTGTATAAAAAGAAAAAAAAAAACAAACAAAAAAGTTTAATTGTTAGAATAAAAAATTGATGAGTGTATTTATCTTAATCTACATGCACTAACTATCAAGAGTCGAGATGTGTTACTGCTCGTCATATAAAATTAAGTGTGCAAATTTAACAAAAAATAATAATAATAATTGAAGAAGATTTAAAATATTTAGAAACTAGTATATATATTCTTTCTATACCTAAAATTTTGTGTTAGGTAGGGTTTTGGTATAGCTTCATTGAAGTACTTTGTCAACTCATAATTGGTTGTTAATCAGAAGTTTGACATGTCTATTGATGATTTGCATTCTTAATTAGGAGGAAATTGAGGGATCATGTTGCATAAGTTGTAACGGCTATTTTATAAAGCCAAATAGAATAGTATAAACATAATTAACTTAGAAAATAGGAGGGGAATCAGTTCTTCTTTCACATTCTCATAGAGAGATTTATACTCAGAGGGGTTTTCTTGGGGAAGTTTGAGTGTGTAATTCTCCATTGATTAGAGCTTGAGGACGGTTCTGGTAATTTTCCCCGAGGCTGTAGATCTTTAAATCGAACCTCGTTTGTGTGATTCTCAGTTTGCTTCTTTGCAAGTTCTTGATTTGACTTCAAAGTTATTTCTGGAATTTATGTCTTTGTTTCAACAAATACTCCATTCATTACACTGATTTAAAATTATAATTTGAGTTTTGTTACAGTAAAAAACTTTTAAAAACAGTTATATTTAATTTTTTACTACAGTAAAAAGTTCTTACATAAAGTCACATTTCAATTCGAATTAAAAACTCAAATTAACGAACTAAACGAACCCAAAATACTTGATTCCTATTTTCCAACCAGCTTCATTTGAAACAAGAGAGTTTATCTGATTAGACTGAAAATAATAAACTACTAATAATTTTTTATTTTTTAACTATTAAATTTAAATTAAAAATTATCTGTTTTATTTATTTTTTTAATTTAATATAATTTTAATTAAATTTAATTATAAAAAATAGATCTTATCAATAAACTATCAGAGAAGGCGGTAACAAACAAAATACACAAATGAATTTCATAGCCGTGAGGAAAATATTCAGCTGGTACTTACTCCTTAAGTTGCAATGACAATGCTTAGCTGGCCTTTTGCTCTTTATTCGATTCCCTGACACGATCAGTACTATTTCTTTTTATATTATAGATATATTAATAAATGCTTATTCTGGTCTAGTCATAATATAAAACAGAGATGTCTCCAGCTATTTATCATATCTATACTTTGGTCGGAAGTTGAGTATTAATTTGTTATAAACACAATTTATTATAGTTTTTGAGCTTATAATAAGGTAATGACTGTCCCCACAGAGTAGTAATGTAATCCAGTAGTTGACTCAATGATTTTGGTATCATGTATTATTATTTATTGACATATAAGTTGGTTCTGTATTAATATTTAGGCATCGTTCACTTTACAGATTTGAGTTTTTAATTTGAGTTGAGATGTGACATTTTTTTAAAGTTTTTTATTATAATAAAAAAAAAAATTAAATGTGATATTTTATGAAAATTTTTTACTGTAAAAATTTAAAATTTAAAATTTAAATCAGTGAAATGAACGAAGACTAATATACACAGAACTTTCAAGGTTAGAACTTACTCTAGGCTTTTACCTAGTGAGAGAACAATTGAAGGATTGTGTGTTGTCTTGTAACAACAGGATATGTACTTTGCAGCCTTTAGTGTGTCCAAACTCCTAAAGAGCCGTGCTAAAAGGAGTACAATATTATCAACTTGCACGCCAGCTTGCAGCGGAGTGGGAAAGAAATCGATCAGTTTCGGTGCTTTCTAAGGAGAAATATCAACGTTTCTCGAGGCAATATCCAAGATAAAGTTTTTTGTGTGTCTAGTACGGATTGTGAAAAATATTGAAAAAACAAATAGTAGAAAAATGGATCACGCGACAAAATGCTGGGAAAGGCTGCTAGCTGCTGCTTTGTAATAAGTAATAACCGAGTTCTAGAAAGAATAATGTGCTGTTTAGTTTACAAATTTAAATTTTTAATTTAAATTAAAATATAATTTTATGTAAAAATTTTTTATTGTAATAAAAAAATTAAATGTGATTATTTTTAAATTTTTTTTATTGTAATAAATTTTAAATTTTAAATTTGAATTAATGAAATGAACGGATCTAAAAAAACCCGCGTAGCAAAATAGTAAGCAGAGAGATTTATTTGAAAAAAAAACAGAGATTTCTTAATTTTCCGTAATAAGGATGTTAGATAATGATCTGTTATAGTTTTTATTTTCAAGAATTACAAGGTTATATTCATCATTATATGCTGTGTCAATTGTTGAAAACCTGCTTCTAATCAAAGCCAGTGCCAATATCTATTGATTAGCGTGTTTAGTAGGCGGATTTATGCTATAATTTAAATTATAATTTGTGATTTATTATAGTATTTTTTTTATAAAAAATATATATAAATTAAAAATAATTTTAAATTATGATTTTAAATTTATAAACCAAACGTTCATGAAAACAACCTAAAAGTTCTCAGCCCAATTGTAAGAAAGCATCATCTAAAATAGAGTAAATGTTTATTACCAAGCACATGGGCAAACAAAATTTTTTGCTAGATGTGCATAATTTTCTAACGTGTATAGTTACTCTCTTGTAATGTTTACCAATCTAATTCTTTACAAGCTTAACTTCATTTTACTTTTTATTACTAATTTAGTAACTTTATTTTCCCTTTTCAATAAATGTAACAAACTCAAGCCTAATATTGAAAAGAGAGCAAGTAAAGAAACCGTGCGTTTTGAATTGATTTCAAAATAATTTTGTTTTTAATAAAAAATAAAAATGAGATTATTTTAAAAATTATTTTAAAATTGATTCTGAAATTGTGTTTGATTAATTTTTTAAAAGATTAATTTAAATAAAATAAAAATATAAAATCATGTTTATTAATTATTATATTATAATATTATTGATAAATATTAAAAAATAAGCACAAAAAAGTAAAAATAACTTTTAATTATTTTTTAATTTCTTCATAAAAATTATTTTTATTATTTTTTATTTTTAAAATATTTATTAAACAAAAGTAATTTATTTTAATTTTAATTTTTTACTTTTCAAAATACGTAAGAATTATTTAAAAAAAGGGTTCTAAACACATCAAGAGTCCACATATATTCTTATTTTCCGTTAAAGGAATTGGGCAATATTGTAATTGCGTGTGAGGACCAAACTGCTATAAAAAGAGAGAGGAAGCGCAATTCAATTTCAAAGACACTTGTAGCATCAGCTTCTTTACATTTCCCACACGCGTCCACAGCTCACAACTCTCGTCACTGCTTAGTTAGTAGTGATAACATAATATTATCACCAAATGGCGTACCGCTTGCTTCTTCCTATAGCTGTGTTGCTTTTCTGCATATTACAGGTAAATGCTAAATAGAGACAATTAATATACGTTTCTCGCGCATGTTCAAAACCCGATTTACCAGAACATTTTTTGTAGGCAAGACTTTGTTCTGTGTGTCCTAAAACTCTACTGATTGTATTTGATCATGTTGGTTGGTACAGGTTTCATCCGAAGCCCAGATTGAAGACAAAGAAGAAAGCCAGGTAAGTTAATACAACTCTCCATATATATAATATACATATAATAGTACTTTTGCTTTGCCATTCTTGTTACTCTTCTCTGTTACTCATTTTCTCAAATCTTATTTATCAGGTGGTTGTGAAAGGACCAAACAGAAGGCTCTTGCCATTTTTGGGTATTTATTCATTTTCCTTGATTTTTGTTAAGTTATCATTTTCAAAACGACAAAATCTTTTTAATACTTTAGGCATGGGTAAATTAAAGTTTTTTTTTTTTTTTTTTTTTTTTTTTTTTTTTTTTTTTTTTTTCTGGCAGACTGTGAAGGATTATGTAAGGTGAGGTGCAGCAAACACTCAAGGCAAAACGTGTGCAAAAGAGCATGTGGGACGTGCTGCGACAGGTGCAAGTGCGTCCCTCCGGGCACCGCAGGCAACAGAGAAATGTGTGGAACGTGTTACACCGACATGACCACTCATGGCAACAGACCCAAGTGCCCTTAATTAGACTAGTCCCTGTTCCGCTAGAACCATATTGAGTGACCAGACCACCTTCTCTATTTTGTTGTATTTTTGCTCTGTTTTTAGGCTAAGGTAACGTATAGTACTTTTGAATAATATAATATATGTACTGTAGGTTATATGAACTTTGATGTATATGAGTATGTGTTGGTGGTCTATGTTTCTTTTCTATATTGTGTCTTTCTTATGTGGGTGTATCATGTACAAGTTTATGGATTTCTACAATAAAAAAAAAAAAAGAAGAAAAGTCTAAAATAATAATAGGCTTAGAGAATGAACAGTGGAGAATTTGGTGAAATATGTGTTCTTATCAATTTCATTAAACAACAGTACACGATATATATAAAAAATTATTGCTAATCGACTCTACCTATTTCTAAGGCTTAGAAGCCGTGATCCTCTTTTAGTGGGATTTTGATTTACACTAGTAAATGTACAGAGAATATGGTAATATATTACAACGATATTTCTTAACACTCTTAACTTGTTGCGTAGACTCACAAATTGACCCTTTCCCAAAGCTTTTGTAAATACATCTTGCTAATTGTGAGTGTGAAGGTACAAATGAAGGACTAATCATTCCGGTTTGCATTTTTTCTCGTGCTATATGACAGTTTATTTTAATGTGCTTTGTTCATTCATAAAAAATAGGATTGACTGCAATGTATAAAGTTGCCTAATTATCACAGAATAATGGTGTAGCAGTTACCTGGGACGTTTAAATCCAATAATATATTGAACAATTAAGTTAGCTCTGGCCATAGCTCGATATTTTGTTTCGGCTGATGATCTAGAGACATTAGTTTGCTTATGAGATGATAGAATTTCTAAGGAAAACACAATAACCCGTAACTGACCTTCTTGTGGCACGACAGCCTCCCCAAACTGAGTCGCAAAAAGCTTTCAAGTTATGAGGGCAATAGTAAACCTTGACTAGGAGTACCCTTGATATACTTGAGGATTCGTATGGTAGCATCCCAATGAGGTCTTTGAGCCTCTTGCATGAATTGGCTTAGTGAACGAACAGAATAGACTACGTCAGGCTTTGTGACAGTTAGTTAAATCAATTGGCCAACTAATCTTTTATATTTGATTGGATCACTCAATAATACTCTTATCTATGAGAGTGAGTTTTAAATTCTGTTCTATGGAGAGACTTCTCAGGTTGAGCACCCAAAGTCTTGAATCTTGCAAAATATATAATGCATACTTTCTTTGTGACATAAAAATTCTTTTCTTGGAACGGAAAATTTCAATGCTCAAAAAATATTTCGAGTCTCCAGATCTTTGATACGAAAGCGCTTGAGAAGAAATGTTTTGAGGCACATTGATAAATATTAGGCATATTCCTCAACTAAGGAGAAGTTTGATTTCTTTGAGAACTTTAGATATTTTGGGTTATGAGTACTACAAGTCAAGAGATGTGATTTAGTAGCCATAAATGGTGAAAAAGTGAAAAACTTGTATAAACTGATTAGGACTACAATTGTATGTGGAGCTATGAAGGTGGAGTCAAGCTATAAAGAATCTTTTGTTGTGAAAGAAGTTGCAGGAGTAAAAGAGTGCAACAAAATGGTAACAGTTGAAGATTATAAAGACAAGATGGTGAAGACTTATAGCAGTGAAGATACTTTGAAGAAGAAAAAGACAGTTTCTTATGTCAAGTTTGATGAGAATTTGAACTTGATACATGTTTATTCTTGTTGATGTTTACATTGTCGGTGTGATGATGAGTTTTGAGATTGGATATGCAAATGAGTGAGTTGAGAGAATTTAAATCAATGTAGAGATTGTTGAGTAAGTACCTCAAATTAGTTTTGAGAAAGTTACTCATTCGTGCTTTTTGGTAAGTTACTGTTTTCTGTATTTGGGCAAGAGTTATTAGGAATCTATAAATAAGTGTTTTGTGTAAGACTTTGTGTGCTAAGAGAAAAATGTAGAGAAATAGTGCATCCTTTTGAGAGAAATAGAGAAAAGTGGGAGAGAGATAGACAAATGATGTAAGGAGTTTTGGGTAGAGAGATAAATAGAGAGAGTTTGTTGAATGTGTAATTTTGAAACTGTTAGTGAAATTTTTTTCCATCTTCTGTGAACTTAAAATTTTTTTTCGATCAACTTAAATCTTTCTCTTCTCTATTTTTCTGTTATTTTTATTTCAATTTACTTTTCCGCTTCCACGCACATGGTTGTAAATTGTAATTTACCAGTGTATGTTGAAACTTTTTGCGCTCATTCCTGTTAAAAATTCTTATAATATTGTCGTTTTCAGATTTTGCTTTCATTTCATCTTTATTATATCGTTTTTTTTATTAATGTCGTTTTTTCCTTTTTTGTTGCTTTTTCGGTCAATTAACCGCTGATGGCTTTCTCCGTTATTTTCCTCTTCAGACGTTGTCTATAACGACATTTTATATTTGTGTCCTTTTCCATGTCAAGAGTGCTTTTTCATTTCTAATTGTCATTTTTAAGATTGTTGTTTGCTTAGGTAATTGTCGTTTATCATGTTCCTGTCGTTTCCTCATTTGTTGAAGTTACTACTGTGCTTCAGAATTTTCTCCTTGTTATTAACGTCGTTTGTAAATGACGTTTTTTTTGTCATTTTTCTCTGTTTATCATGTCTCTCTGCTGTTTATCATTTCATGTCCACGTTGGGTTTTTTATTTTTATTTATTTATTTATTTTTTTTTTATGCTTTGTCATTTGTATTTGTTTACGCTCAACTTGTAAATGATTGTCGACCGTCATATCGTCACATCGTTTAATAGACTGTTGTGGTTTACGCTGATGTGGTTTTCTATATTCATGTCGTTTGTGAACTTTTTGCGGGCTATTAGATTATTGTCGTTTATTGTATGAAATCTCTTTTAAGATTGTTGTCGTTTTCGCAGTGGTCTCATTTGAAAGATTCTTGTCGTTTAAAAGGTCAATGCCAATTTACGTTGATGTCGTTCGTTAGCTTTTTTTTTTTAATAGTATAAAAGGTTGTTTTAGTTTTCTTTTTTGCTCATTCTGTCCTTTTTACATCAATGTCGTTTGAAGAGCTTTTGTCGTATAATAGGTCTTTATAGTGCTGAAAATTTGGGCCAGGCTAGACGGGCTGGCCCGAAACCCGTTACTGTGGGCCCGGGGACCGGCCCAGCCCGACCCGAATCCGTACAAGCTCGAGCCCAGTCCGACCCTAGTGTAGAGCCGGGTTGGGCGGTAATTCCAGGCCCGTAGGCAGCCCAACCCAAGCCCGGCCCGGAGAGCCTGAATAGTCCTGCTAAAAAATAGTCCGAAATGGCCCCGGGCCGGGCCCGAATGGTTAAGGTTGGTCTGTTGCAGGCCTGCAGCCACACTGTTGGGCTGGTTGCAGCCTGCAGCCCAAAAGCCAAGCCTAAAATTTTTTTTCTTAGTTGTTTACTTGTTTTTGGCCTAACAGTAATATTACCATTGCGCTGCCTCACGGCAGTGAGTCTGAAACAGAGGGCTGCAGCCCTCTGCTATTTTTTTTCGCCCCAAAATTTATAAATTTTATCTATAAATACCCCCTCCATTAACCCATTTTTTTCACACAACACAACTTTCACTCTCTCTATTCTCTTCTTATTCTCCAATTTTTTCTCAACTCTAAATTCTCACTCACATTAATTCTCTCAATTTTGCTATTTCATTTTTGTTCGAAAAAAAAGTTATTGATTCTCTAATTTCTACTATAGTCTCTACTTCAATTTTCAAGTCACAATTCCATTATCCATATCAAGTAATCAAGGTATTGATAAATTTTAGAATTATAAATGTTTTAATTTTGTTTATATCTAATTTATTGTGAATATTTAATTTTTAGTGTTAGCATGTATTAATATGTTTATTGTTGTTATTATTATTGTAGGAAATAGAAAATGGAACCAAATATGTATATGTATGGTCTTGATGGTGTTGATTACTATGGAATGGATGATCAAGACATTGAAGAAGTAACAATTCAACGAATGGAGGCGGGTGACCAAGTAGGTGACATGCCACAAAATATTAATATTCAACCGAATCAACCCTCAGAAATGCCGACGGGCTCAAGTGGTTCAACATCATCAACGGCAACAAAACATGCGAGACAACGTGCATAATGTTAGAAATACTTCACTACACAAGAAAAAATTGACGCCGGAGGTAAGAAAATAAAATTAGCTACATGTATATATTGTAAAAAAGTTTTGACTGTAAATTCTACAAGTGGAACTTGACACTTGAGAGATCACAAAGTTAAATGCGCTAGACTTCATTAAGCCAGGACGGAGCCTACACAAACTCAACTTCAATTAAACCCGGATGGTTCGGTAAGTACTTGGTCTATAATCCTCAAGTTCCTAGGGAATCTTTATGTCAATTTATTTATGCTTTAGATTTACCTATTAACCTTGGTGATAACCCACATTATCAAGCGCATATTCAACGTGCATATTGTCCTCAATTTCAAAAAGTTTCTAGAACTACTACTAAGGAGTGATATGATTGCATACTATGAGAAAATATGTCTTGCATTAATAGCTGATATTTGGAGTGGTAGGGCGAATCAAGATTATTTGAGCGTAATTGTACATTATTTAGACTCTAAATGGAATATGCAAAAAATAATTATTGGTTTTAGACTTATTGATTATTCACATAATGCTGACAACATTGTTGAGAGACTTGTTAGTGTTATTCAAGATTTTGGTATACGAGACTGCATTAACTCTATCACCTTAGATAATGCTACAGCTAATGTAAGGGCGATATCAATGTTGGAGGGACTTATAAACTCGTATAGTGGTGGAGTTTTACTTCATCAAAGGTGTGCATGACATATAATTAACCTTATTGTCAAATCAGGTATGCGTATGGTAAGTTCTACAATTGATAATATTCGAAATGCCATTTCTTGGATTCATAATTCAAACCCCCCCATTGCTGAGTTTAAGAGGTATTGTAAAGCAGAAGGTATGAAGCCTATAAAGTTTGGTCTTGACATGCCTGTTAGGTGGAATTCAACATATATGATGTTGAAGAGTACTTTGCCATATAAAAATATTATCACTATTTTTTTCAATACAAAAAATGGGCAAAACAATGTTGCAGGAAGATGACTGGTTTATTTGCAAACGATTTGTGTCTTTTTTGGAGGTTTTTTATGATTCCACTATTTTATTATCTGGTATTTATTATCCTTCTTCTCCATTAATATTGCATCAAATTTGTGAGATTACAGACTTATTTGAAA